TAAGATATATGTTAATGTGCATTGAAAACGTTAAAGCTGTCGTCATTGTCTTTGCAAAAGCTGATTCATAGGATTACGCCTAGACAGTATGTCGGAATAGTTACATATTTAGATACTGATGTAATAAATTGTAATACTAAGTGGGTTCCCCGTGGGAAATATTGAAATATGTATGTTTCAATATCATTACGGGAACTCCCTAATACATGTCAATTTCTTAGGAGCACGTGTTACGACGTAAATATTTGAAACACATACTAGGGAGTTGGGGGTCGACCGGTAGAGATTAGTTCATTTATTAACTGCGTTCAACATGATTTTAGCACATTTTATAGCTAATCAAAATAATTTTAACGTTCAAAATAATGTAACGTAACATAACATCACGCCTTTTATACCCGAAACGGTAGGCAGAGGTGCACATTATGCCACTGTACAATGTAACACCCACTTTTCACTATTTATGTTATGAGTCCCATGTAATAGGGGTTGAGCCTGTTGCCATATACCGAGCACAATTCGTCGTTCAAAATGTCATGTGATAAAGTTTGTTAATGATCAAGCGTCTATTTTTGCCGTAAGGAAGTATAAAGGCTTACATAACATGGGCCCTCACCCTCAAACAACATAAGAAATAAGCTTTTCAAATATATATACCACAACAAAAATAGTATAATCTCTACCTACGCCTACGACACAATCCCTTCCCTTAGTAACCGAGCCTTGTACAAAGCACCGATATAAAGAAAAGTTAATTCGCTAAACAATATACGATTCACAAAGAACAAAATATAAGAGTCCCTATACTCGTGCCGGTCTATATAATCTGTAATAGTTTTACAGCAAAATTCGAGTACCTATATTATATAAAGGCAATCTCCAGGGATCGCAGGTCAAGTGGCTATTGTGATACGCAGCATATATTCAGAAATATTTATTGCTATAATCTGAGTACCCGGCCATATTTCATGTTTATTGAGATAGTCGGGGTCCTGATCGAAGCCACGTGGACCCCATCAATGTTCTTAAACGTTATTGGTTTAGTTTTTACGCCTTTTTACCCCCGGAGGGGTAGGCGGAGGTGCACATTGCGGTACTTAATGCCATTGTACAATGTAACACCCACTTTTCACTATTTATGTTATGATTTCCATGTAATAGGGGATGAGCCTATTGCCATATATCGGACACAATTCCAAACTCCGTGGTAGAATTATTAACTCAATTGGTTGTTAACCGCTATTACTAACTAATTAAATAAGTAAACAACAATAAACTCTCTTCTTTACCATAAATATATATCCTAACCATCAAAACAAAACAATATTGATATATGTGTATGTTACGTATCGGTGCCGACACATGTACCTACACCGTGATCAACGCCGTGTCACCAGGCCCAGATCTGCTGAATCAGGACATTACACCTATTTTGATGCAACGAAGGTTCTACGGAGTACCTATTGCCACATTCGAACTGCTGAGTCGTCGTCTCTTGTCGCTGCCTTGTGCCCAGCTACGAATCGCTACATCATCGTTCACCCCACTAGATTTAACCTCAATAAAACCGTCATACTAATTTTGTAATAAAGAATTTTAAGATAAGAAAGCAGTGTCGTTCTAACATCGAACGCTCGCTCTTAGGTTAGTTAGATTTTAGGAGTTAACATGTAATTTTAATTATAATAAACTTAGTAAAATGATTGTAGTTTCCATTTGAATCCTCTGTCGGTGGCACCGACATAACTTGTATCAAAACATATTTACAAATAGGTACGCAACTATATTCAGAGAATTAATTCCTACTTATCCTTTCAGGAAACAACAAGAATGTTATTACGTATATTACATGTAGCATTGTCTATTTTCCGTGAAAAAAAATACGTCCTTCTGTTGTGGAAAACCAGGACGTGACGCATTGTTTCGGTTGGATCCGTTTCTGTATGGCAAAGTAAATAGAAGATTTTTGTTCAATCGAAAACAATACATATATAATCTATTTCGTTTTTGTCCCGAAGTAAAATGGTACTGTCTTGGTATTACAAACGATATACAAAGAAATAGTGTTTAAAAAAAACTGGTGAACCTTTGCAAAAAGAAAACTTCGAAAGCGCATACGAACTCATATATGTATATATTATTATATTATAAAAACATCACGCCCTGTAATTCTCGAAGAGGTATTTATCGTCGGGTGGCATGTGCTAGGCGAATAGTTCCTATAATATTTCATGTGCATATTTCTATGATTTTTTTAAACTAATAAATGGGTAATTCCCCAATCTCCCCAACCCCCGAATACCCAATAATCCTCAAATTCCTAATTCCCAAAACGCCGGTACCGCACTTGTAACACTTGGATGTTTCGAGTGTCCATGGGCGGCGCCAATTGCTTACCATCAGGTGATCCGTCTGCGAGTTTATCGACTAATTACATAAAAAAACCTACTAGTGATTATATGTAAGTATAAATTTAGTTAAAGCTCAGATTGTAATACCTATTATACTAAATCTGAACTCTAACATAAGCGCACAAACGTTATATTCGTTTCAAATAAACAATACTTAAGTAAACATATTTTGAGTGACTAATAAATATTTAAATTCGAAAAAATCTACAGACGCATTCGAGAAATAAAAGGCATAATAAATATATTCCGATAATTCGCAGTTCAATTGCATACAACAGATTGTCCTAATTAATTAGTCGCTTAAGTTGAGTTGACTCGTGTGTGCGTAAATGGACTATGACACATTATGTCATTGTTGTCCTGACTGACGTAAGTAAGCACATAGGTAGGTACACAGGACTTATTGATCCATTCATAAATACACTTTTTTTCCTAAAATTCTTAGGTACATTAGTTAATATCAAATTGAAATTACCTCGTACGTAAGGAAGAGAAATGTTGACAACATCTAGGGGGCACCACAAGCGATAAAAATCATATCAGTCTCATCACTTTCACTGCCAATTAACAATGTTAATTAAAGCAGTAGCTAAAAGCTTTTAAATTTGAATAAAATATTGGAGATGTGGATTATAATTTATTATGGTTGTTCGCTTATGTTCTATTTTATTTACTTAATACAATCATTCTACAGGGATGACGTTTAAAGCAAGAGAAGTACCTAAGAACAATGAAAATACGTCATCATAAATGCAATGGGTATTCCTAATCGAATTAAAGTTCCTGAGTACCTTATTGGTAAGTCGATGACCTGTCGTGGTGTGGTGTGTTGGATTTTTCCAGTGACAATTATTTCTCCTTGAACTTTAGTTTATTATTAAGGATACATTGGTACTTATTATATCCTGTCATACACAGCGAATCTACTTTGATAAGTAAAAAATATGAATATTAGTAACCACGGAATGTTTTGTTAACCTCAGGATTCAAATCCACTGCGGTTTTTTAAGGGGGGAAAATCATGGAATGTCTTCTCCCGCCTGGGTGAGGCGGGAGGGAGTATCAGACTCTTACTGACTAAAAACTACCCCGTTCCTACTCCTGCACTTCGAGCTGGAGCCCCGGTAACCCGTTAGGTTCTCCATGGGGGTCTAGGCTAGGTTTTAAGCAAGTGGAACGAAGTTTTTAATCAGTAAGAGTATGACACTTCCTCCTGGAACCTAACAAACGTATGATTTTCCACCCAACAAAAAAATATAATTACACCTTAGCGATTGCAGCTACGTAGGTATAGATCAGTTTAGGTAGCCTAAAACTACTAAAGAATTTAAATAAAATAAATTGCTTCCTTAAAATACTATTAAAAATGTATTATGTCATGCACTTTGACTAATAATATTCCTACATAATATAATATATCCGTTAATATTTAAATGATTTGTTTTTAATTTCCTAACTTAAATGATGTACCTATTTGACACTAGTCACCAATGAACACTCTAAGCTTTGATCAATTTGCCTACAACATACTGACGTCTAATTTCACAGAAATGATGTTAATGTACGTATTTGAAAATTCCATATTTACGTATGCAAATACATTGGATACAAACGACCACTTTACTAGGTAGTGATTAATATATACCAAAATGTCTATTGGATGGACTCGTTGGCCTAGTGGTTGCAAGTGCGACTGCCCAGCAAGGGGGTCTCAGGTTTGATCCCAGGTCGGGCAAAGTATTACTAGGTTTTTAAAAAAATCTCAGTAGCCTACTACTGAGATTTTTTTGACAGAGTCTGGAATCGTGTATGGCAATAGGTTCACCCCTATTACATGGGTGTCATAACATAAATAATGAAAAGTGGATGTTACATTGTACAGTGGCATTAAGTGCCATAATGTGCACCTCTGCCTAACCTTTCGGGGATAAAAGACGTGATGTTAGTACCTATGTATGTATAAACAAAGGCGCGCTTACAGAGGTCTGTAAGAGCAACAAGAAAGTTATCGTCACATTAAACACAAAGCATATTTGGTAGATAGGGTCCCATATAATGTACCAATGAAACATTCAGGTAAATAAATTATCCGATTAAGTAGGTAGTAAATAAATGAAAAACCTTGTCATGTTGGGAATTTTATTTCGTCATAATTTTAGCGATCAGAAAATAAATTTCAAAACTTCATACAAGAACATTATACAACATACAAGACCACAAACAGTTGTCTGTTATACATTATTAATTGTATGAGGTACAAATTCCACCTTTGGGGCCACAAGTGCATAAAGTGGGTACTCTAGGTACCCAGCCAGAGGCTTCTGTGAAGACAGTGGTCACGTGCCGCCGTGCACAGCAGCACAGCAAGGCTTAAGGGAGATATCCGTCTCTCTTAAGAAGTGCCGTAATAGGCGTTGCTCCGTGGGGGCTCTTTTAGAGGACCCGATGCCCCTCAAAGGTGTTAAGGGTGGCCATCAGGATGGTTTTGGTGAAATAAATCTCACACTCTCTAGGCCTTCTCCCCAAAAAGGCTCCTTTTGAAAGTTTCCCCCGGTTATCAAAAAAAAAGGTACGAAGTCCAAGCGTCGTCTATGCGTGCTTCCTATATATTTTTGCGATCAAAACCTCATAAAGAAATGATAGTATAGACAAACAATATCCACCAATTAATATCATAAAAGCATTATAAAAATTCTCCAAAGTTAGAGCCACTTTCTGAGGTCGGTCACGTGACTTACATTTAAACCATTCTCGACTATAAATGTCTGAAGAATACTTCGTTAAGATCCCCGTGGGCGAACTCTGCAGAATGAAATTATTTAGAGGTCCAATCAAAGCAGAACCACGGCGCAAATATATCGTCCTGTAAATACTCACATAAGGTTCCTTCAATTTATACGTCATTAGTTCACATTGGTTATTAGTTAGATACCGTTGATTCACCCTATAGTGGCACCCTGATACAAGTGTATACAGAGACCTGTTTGGACAGTTTCTTACAGTAAGCAAGCAATTACGCCTAGTGCCACAATCGAAGTGTCCGTCAAACTTATTACGATGCTGCCACTCACTATATAAAACGGGCTTGTAATTTTGTAACTCCGTCGCCTCCTTTGGTTCGAAGCCTCTTACCGGTCGAGCCGTCGCACTAAACAAATCTGCTTGAATGGCATAAGGTATTATAAAAGCTGTAAACAATATAGTGGAAAATATCAAAACTTGTGGTCTTCCAATAGGTGTACCCTTAACCATGTACTTATTTAACAAAACCCCATATACAATCAGAACATTGAGAAAAACGTCTCTTCGTGTACGAAATATTCCTAACCACGTGGCTGCGGTACAAAGAGTAATGAACAACAGACATACCACGAGATATGTCTTGAATGACTGATATATCACTGAAACCCATTGCCCCATATAATGGGAATGAGCCAGAATAAAATATATATGATCCATTAGCATCGGATAAATGTGAGAAATATTACCAGAATCGGAATACACTGAGTTTATCTCGTATCCCCCAAAAACGCCTTCAAATTCATTATCCAAAACTTTCTTTATTAAAATGTGTGTTTCGTTATCATAACGTTTTCCGAATCGGTCAACTTTTTTATATTCATGTAAATCAATTTTCACTCCGTATTGTTTGATAAATAATGACAAAAAAAATTGTTCAATACCCTCGGTATCAGTGTGGAAGTTTACAAGTGGCCATAAATTACGCGTCACCAACCTGTATTGACAACCACGGATGGTCCCTTTTTGTACGGGAGGTAATAATTTACCAACACTATGAATGTAATCAGAACATCGCATCCAGAATGTTAGATGGTTATCTTTCAAACAATATCCAGCGTTCGTAAAGTTATAACTGTAAATAGAATAATCGTCACCATCACGTGATATGACTGAAACTTTATGAAATATATTATATGTATGAAGTAGATGAGTCAAGTCATACAAACTGTACTCTTCCACGTTTTGCACGACAATAATGAAACTTGCCGATGGATTCCAGAATTTATCAGAAGTTACTTTACTCAATCCATCAGCTAATTCTAGATAATCTTCACTCATCACGAGGTAAATAACGTTGCTAATGTTTTCAGTGTCCCATAAGAATCTTCTTGAAATAAATCGCGCTCCTTCAACTCGATGGAGAGCAGATAATTGTAAATCATTGTTCATATTCATTATAGTAATATCCATTATACTGTTATATTTCTTATAATCAATTTCTTCTAAAATCTTGACTACACAACTTGTGATACTTTCCACTTGATCATGTTTCGATTGCAACATTGCATGGGTAGAAATTAAAACGTAGAAGATGGTGAAAATAATGAGTTCCATCTAAAGAGTTGAACTACGGGCTGAAAACCTTTGAAATCAATGAGCCAATATCTCCTCTAGTTCTTGTCAATGTGGTCACTGGTCTGGCAGTGAACGTGTTAAATATGATTATATAGGTTAATTTCCTATTAATGTCTTTATGTATCTACAGTTGAATCTAGAAAAAGAACCAAGAGTTTATTTTCTTTAATTCATGGCCAATAATGACAAATGACTAATTATGAGACTGTTATCAACAATCGTTTAATGTATGTAACTAAAATCACATGAGGTTTTTTATGGTATCAGTTAATTCTTTTTCTTTTTAAAAAAAAGCATTGCCCCACACTAGGATTTTCTCCTGTGTCGTGGTTGCGTTTACAAACATACAAGTTCACATGCATATGACACCCAGACCCGGAACAACAAACTGTGGATCACACAAAGAGTTGTGGGAAGCGAACCCGCGACACGTTGTGCGGCAGTCAATTGGTCAACCACCGCGCCTACCGTGCAGTCATTACTGATCTTTTACAACCTTTATATTTTTTTGTTTTTATTTTTTATTGTTATATAGTAATTCGTGGTGATTAGCATATTATGTATTCTATGATAATATAGTTTTATAGCTGCCAATTGTAATGGCTTAAATTATAGAGAGTAATTTTCTTAACTTAGTTTTTTTCACTTTTAATGTGTAGATATTACGTATTATTAATATACGAATTATAATTGTAAATAATTGCGACTGCCTCGTTGGCTGAGTGATCGCAAGTGCGACTGCCGAGCAAGGGGTCTCGGGTTCAATTCCAGGGTCGGGCAAAGTATTTCTGGGTTTTAAAAAAATTCTCAGTAGTAGCACGGAGTCTGAAATTGTGCCCGGTATATGGCAATAGGCTCACCCCCTATTACATGGGACTCATAACATAAATAGTGAAAAGTGGGTGTTACATTATACAATGGCATAATGTGCTCTGCCTACCCCTCCGGGGATAAAAGGCGTGAAACATCACGCATTTTATCATAACATAACAATGTTATGTTAAAATATAATTGTTGCTTAATAGCAATAAATTGCCCGTCAAGTGTAGGCAATTTATTGCTTACAATATTTCAAAAGGCAAAAATATTCGTATCACACATAAAAAAAATATTCATTTAAAATCGCGTCTTGTTAAATAAGTCAGGGGTTATCTTGCACCGGTTAATATACCTGATTAAAGCAATAGTCTAAACCCCTTTTTATATAAGTACTAGCTCCTGCCCGCGACTTCGTACGCGTAATCGCATTTTCTCCCGTTCCCGTAGAATTTTCGGATTTTTCTCTCTTGAGAACCTTCTCCTAATAATAACAAATACAACAAAAAAAGAATTAGTGAAATGGGTCCAGCCATTCACGCGTGATGCCGTGGTCAAGGGAAAAAGGGATTCATTTTTATATATAGGTATTTTTTTAGGGGAAGGAAATCATCGAATGACTGGTCCCGCCTGGGTGAGGCGGGAGGGAATGTCAGACTCTTACTGACTAAAAACCACCCCGTTCCTTCTCCTGCACGTCGAGCCGGAGCCCGGTAACCCGTTAGGTTCTCCGCGACTCAGAATTGGCATCAGCCCTGTTGGGCTCCGTCAACAATCGATATTTAGGATGAACATTTTATTCCAATATTGTTATATTTTTTTATAGTTTAGGGTTAATAGCTTGCCACGTGTACTTACTTTCATTTTTATCACTGTAGAGATCCTTAGTGTTCAGAAACAGGTTGATTTTACGAATAAACGCCATGTGCAATAGTAAACATTTATTTTTTAAATAAAAAACAAACAATATAGATACCTTACATTGCATCAGTTGTAAAATAAATGTATGTCAAATAGTTATGATTACATAATACTCTAACATGAATAAAAGCAATAGTCTAGAAACTAAGAATATTTACATAGGTGTTATATTAAAGTAGTTACGTTAATTCCATATAACGTCTAAAACAAATACAGTTAGGCGTACTACGATTACACTAGAACTAGATGATGAAAACAAATAGTTTCAAGCTACCGCCCGTGCTGTCTTTTCCGAGAACTGATTTTAAAACATGAAAATTTAAAAAAGAATTGTAATGTTCCGAAATATCACGTTGGTAATTCATAGAGAACCTAATGAGCACAGACTTAGGGCCGATTTTTCCAACACCAGGTAAATTTTAACAGAGGAACTTTGAATATTTGACAATTCTTCCATACTAATAACTGTCAAATGTCAATTTTATTCTAAAGTTAAGAATTATCTGATGGTTTAAAAATCGGCCCTTAAAGAGTGATTCCCAAATAGTGTCGCGACTAAAGCGGCTAATTACGCTCGTAAGAAAGCCGTAGTGTGTCCTAAACCTTATAAAATAACACGTTAAAAGCTATGGGGGTCACCGGTGACCGGCGATAGCGGAGGATTTACCTTCAACAGTATTCTATTGGCAGTCAAAGTCAAAAGTAATTATGTATCCGATAAAATTATATGATAGGTACACAGTTAATACAAATTACGTTCTTCATTCAAAATCTGGTACATATAACGGCTATGTAGACATTGAAATAGATCCTTAGGGTTTTATTAGATATTATTTAGCAGACCATCTGTCGGTGAATTGGAATTTGTACTTGTCTCCAATATGATCACAATTGGTATATAAAAACATGTATCTTAATGTCTTAAGTACATTTTATGTTTGATACATTTTTATCCAGCCCAAACTTCGCATATAAACAATAACAGCGACAAACAGCAACCAACAATAAGCACTATGAACGCGAAATACAACTTTTCCAAGGAAGCAGGCATGAACAACATGTCGTGGTGAGATTTACACAGCATCATTTCACGCTTGGCAATATCCAGATCATACTTTTTCAAAAGATTCGTGTCTGCCACCTGAAGTGTCAAACGTTTTAAATGTTCTAAAAGAACGGAGCCGCGTCGCAAATAGATAGCTCTAAGTACAGCCGTGTAAGGTTCTTGCAAAGTATAGGTCACAAAATTGCAATGCTCATCAGTTACCTTCCAACGATAAACTTGATAATATGAGTTTGATGTCATCGTATATTGAAGAGTTCCCGTATGCCTCGCTAAAGCCTGTAAACAACTAAGTCTGGTCGGACAAATACGATGACCAGCAAAAAAATAGCGACGTATCCAGTCTGCATGCAAAATTGCTTGATAGTTCTCCAAATCACTTGCTACCTTGGGTTCAAATCCACGAACTGGCCGAGTTGTTACACTGTATAACTTAGCTTGAATTGCATAGGGAATTATGAACGAAGTAAACATCAGAATCGAGAAAACTAATGCAGATGCATACCCTGATGGTGTGCGCTTTAGAACATATTTGTTTAACAGATATCCAAAAACAATAAGGGCGTTGCGCGATGCATCGCCTGGTGTATGAAATATCGCTAAAAATCTAGCCAATATACAAAAACACACGAAAACTATCACGACTCCACAGAATATCCAGGAACATTGCCTTAACATTGCTAGCCATGGATCTACAAAATTAGAGTGAGCAAGTACATACAACACGTGATCTATCTTGTACGGGTATGCATATGTAACATTACCACTATACATTGACTGCACAGAGTAACCTCCAAGAGCACCTTCAAATTTGTTATGAGCTACTTTCTTCAGCATTATCTGCGAAACATTATCAAAAGGTTTTCCATACTTGTCGACTTTGTTATACTCTTCTATTACAATTTTCACTCCATAATACTTCTCAAATAATGTGAAAAAATATTGTTCTGTTCCTTTTACGTCTGAGTCGAAGTTTGTAAATGGCCATAAATTATGTGCAATAAATTTATATCGACAGCCACGAATACTTCCAGAATTCAATTGAGGTAACAATTTTCCAGAGCAGTAATCAGAACACCAACACCAAAACGTCAGATGGCCAGCTCTCAGACAGGCATCGGGTTTCGTATAGTTATGCTTGTAAATAGCATATTCATTACCATATCGCGATATTACTGAAACTTTAAATATGTTGTATGTATGAAGTAGATCAGTCAAGTTATGAAAATTGTACTCTTTCATGTTCATCACGACAATTATGAACCTGGCCGATGGATTCCAGAATCGATCAGAGGTAACTTTATTCAATCCACTTGCTAATTCTTGATAATCTTCACTCATTACGATATAAATAACGTTACTAATGTTGTTGGTGTCCCAAAAGAACTGTCGTGAAATAAACCGCGCTCCTTTAACTTGGTGTAGTGCAGACAATTTTAAACCATTGTTCATATTCATAACGGTAATATCTATGGTTTTCTCTAACACTTGGCGCTCATATTCTACCACTATCTTTACAACACAATCCGTAACACTTGTCACAAAATCGTGGTATGGTTCCAAGAATGCATTCGCACTAATTGAAAAGTGAAAAAATATAGTAAAAAATATTGTTCTCATATCCATTTTACCCCAAAAGTAACTGAGTTAAATATTTGTTTGTAACAGACTATTGGAATAGGAAAAGAAAAAGCAGCAGTTATTTTCTTAATGATTTATGATTACTTTTTATCATCAATCACTAGCTCTGATGTCTTTTTTCTAATTACGGTTAAATTATAAGTTAATGACAACTTTCTTATGAACTCATTAATAACGTGACCTTATTCACCTAATGCCGATTACAAACAAAACAGTTTAACATTAGAGAAACGTATTTACAAATGAACTAGGTGGCTACAGTCCTATTTAATTTTGTTTTTATTATTGCAATAAAAAGTTCACATAAGAAGATTAATATTGACAAACAACAACCACC